GCTCATAAGTCAGCGAATCTTCGATACGTACCTCGTCCCATTTATCCCGGACTATGCGCAGACTACGACGGGTTTATTGTGATTTACGTAACGGATGAAGGAGAGCGATTGCTTAATCTTTCGCGTCCTCCCGATCGAGAGAAGACCGCGTCATCCCGGAAAAGACGGGGTCGGCAAATCCTCGTCGGCCCGGACGCTAACTGATGGAAATCGCTGCGTACGAAGATGCGCGCGTACTCGCGATCGCAACATTTATTTCGAGACGAGATGCATTACCGAGATGTCGATTTCGCGGTAGATAAATGGGTGAAATTGTTTCTTGGAGCGACTGCTATTTGTACCTGTACATGTCGCGCGTTCCATTGTCTTAACTCGCGATGGAGATTCAGGAATTCGAGCCCGGTGGGATCCTCATCGTTGCGTAAAGTATTTGTTGTGCGCGTGATTAGCATAGGAATTTGTCGGATATTTTTTAAATCGAGATATCGCATTAATATTTTTAATATTAAAACAATATTACACAAATTTTTAATCATCTTATTTTTAAATTCCGTTACAAATATTATATTATTATTATATTATTGTTAACTAGCAAAAATAATACTGGAATAAAACTAAATGTAGTAAACAAAAAAATAAATTTATTTAATAGAAAGAAAGAAAGAGAGAGAGGGGAGGGAAGGATAATGCAACGATGTCAGATATGATATAATCGTCATAAAGAGACATAAGCGCGATATAATACGTATTATGCTTTTATATTATATATTATAAGAGGCAAGAATCCGCAATAAAGTCGTCGTATCAGAGAAGATTACATGGACTACCGCAAGAGGTTCGCGGATAAGGGATGCGTTTAAAATGCATCCCCGGACGTTTGGGGATTTCTTTGGTTATTCCGCTTCTCGTCCGTCCGTTGAAGGAGAAAAAGTCAACATCGTGCTGGTAAACAGGAAGCAACGTAAATTCTCAGCCTTGTCTCTAGGTATTATTCAGGCTTAGTGGATGCTACAGCCACGACCGTGGAGGAAGCTCAGTCTGCGAGCTCAAACAAACGGTTCTAATCCGTTTAACATAAATACCACGTGGTTTAATTAAATCGCGCACCGCAAGGTAATCGTCCCGGCGTTGTCTACAGACACACGGCTTTTTCTTCCTTAGGCATCGAGATTACCGAGCGATGAATCGATATTTCTTCATGATGCGACACTTCTTAATTCGGGGAGTTTAGTAAAAGTGCTGTACTAACTCGATTATGTTTTGTACCTATTTTCAAAATATTGAGAATTTAATGAAAATTGTACAGAATTGTCCTTACATATGTCTAGAATCTTCGGTACAATTTTTAAATCGATTCATTAAAGCGTTCACAAGTTATAAGGATTTTAATTTGCACCGAATTAACATGTGTTCTTATGGGAAACGTATAATCACAATTCAAATGACAAAAACACAGGGGAATAATATTCAGAATTTGTTTAAAATTTGCAAAAGTTTAGGATACAGATGAAATATTTGGTCAAATAATATTATATGAGTACTAACTGGTTAAGAAGATATTAAATATGATTCAATGAAGTTAGCCATGTATCTGTCACAAGGGGAAATTCTCTGCCAAAAGTTAATCATTCCGATTCAGACCTGTATTCGTGATATTCAGTGAACAAATCTGTAAATGTTTAGCGATCTGTACGAAAATATCACTGACCCAAGTCAAATTTTAAATTATTCGAATATTAGTTAAATTTTTTTAATAAATAAATTTTTAATATACGATTTTTTTAAGGATGTTTTGTATCTGTTTTCAAAATATTGAGAATTTAATGAATATTGTACAGAATGTCCTTACATATGCTTAGAATCTTCGGTACAATTTTTCGATTCACTAAAGCGTTCACAAGTTATAAGAATTTTAATTTGCAGCGAATTAACATGTGTTCTTATGGAAAAGTATAACCACGTCGATTCAAATGACAAAAACACATGAAAATAATGTTCAGAATTTGTTTAAAATCTGCAAAAATTTAGATACAGAGAAATATTTGGTCAAATAATATTATACAAGTACTAACTGGTTAAGAAGATATTAAATATGATTCAATAAAGTTAGCCATGTATCTGTCATAAAGCGAAATTTTCTGCCAAAAGTTAATAATTTTGATAAAATTCGGAATATTTCAGTAAAAACGCAATAAATATTAAAAAAATACATCTCTGCGCTGTAGCTAAGATCAAATTGTAATATTCCACGCAATTTCTCATACTCAAAATACACCAAAAGTGATATTCGTCAATATTGTCGATTTTCAGCTACTTTTTGCTGGGATTGTATATACAAAATATCCTTAAGTGTACGGCTAAACTTATATTTTCAATGTTCCATTCATTCTTTTATCATTCACTATACTTTAATCACGACTTCAGCTATTTTCTTTAAAAATCGATAATAACATGTTAATTTCTAACGAGATATATAAAGTAGAAAAGTCATTTTACATGCATTTGTTTTTCATATTTACTTATCAGCACATTAATATTGTTGTTTATTTTCTTAAATCGATGATATATATATATATATATATATATATATATATATATATATTTAAGAGCTATAAAGAATTCAAAGACGTAATACAAAATAAACCTATGAATTTTATCCCAATTAAAAAATAATTTCAATTATGAATTCTATTTCTATTAAATTAACATTATGATTTTTTGAATATTCGAACGTTATTATTTAATATTCTTTGTGATGGGATTTTTAACGACACTTTGCAATGCATTTGGAACATGTTTAAATTTAACTATTTATCGATAATGAATATATATATTGACACTTTGAGCGATAAATTCGATGCTACAGGGAAACCTTTTTCGGTTATCTCTCTAGTATTTCAATACTCTAGTATAACAATACTTTAAAGACAATGCGAAATAATCTCTACAGGCCGCATTCACAGAGTGTCGACGTAATAATTTTCGTCGTCAACATTTCTCGAACGATAGCTCGCTGTAAAACGACGACAACGACGACATCGCGCTTAAAATAGTAAGGAAAGGGAGATGAATTTCCTTACTCAGGCTAATCTCGTAGAAGAGACGGTTCTTTGTAAATACTTCGGAGGCTTTGTCTGAAGTTACCGCGGGAACGAAACTCTCGGGCTTCTATCTTAATCATTCGACTAACGCAGTGCTTGCAATGCAGCCCGTTCTTACCCGTACGATTAGAAACTCGCGCTACGTTTTTCCGAAATACACCGAGTCGGAGTGTATTCTCCGCTCTCTCTCTCTTTCTCACCCTCGCAAAACTCGAAGAACGAGAAATTGACGATCTCCATGGCGACCCTTGCCGCGTCCTGAATATCTTATGCACGAGCCCATTAGCGGCAGAAACGTCGCGAGAATAAATGGCAGCCGCTTTTAAGGAGCTCGACATCCTATAGAATAGGAGACGCTCTATGAAAGGGGACGCTACACCTTCATGCAAAAATGTGTTCCCGCGAAAGCGGATTTGTACGACGATTGTAATAAATTATTGCGTTGTTTGTAATCGATGTCGCGGCTATTGCTACCTGGGTCTCATTATTTTACGTTCACATAAATTGAATTCTGTGAAAGTAATTTGTTGTAATGTTACATTACACAGGCCTGCGAGGTTTTTGTTTTTCAAGATGCAATAGTTCCGGCGTAATTTTGTGCGCTGAATCTGGCTGAAACGCCGAATTTGCGTAGCACGTCACGTTTTTAAGTAATTTGTAATTGAATAGCTCAAAAATCGCTATTTTGGTTAATTTCATGAATTTATTGCGGGGAAACCAAATTTTTTGAAATATTTTTGCCAATGGCATCGTATAATACTCACTTTCGCCTTTCATATTCACTTTCGATTACCGCCGCACGATTTTTTTTCGCTGAGATATATAAGTATAACGTTGTAAGAAAATTTACGTTAAAGAAAATTTATATAGACGTTAATATGGTAGATCCATGATCTTGAAATTTAAAAAGATTGACATATGCCAGATTCGGTTGGCCAAAAAAGTATTGTAAAGAAATGTCTAATACAGTTGTTATACATTTTGATAAATTTTTCTAAATTTTATGCTTTTTTATTGTGATTCTCTATTCGCCATATTGGATGCGCTATTTTTAATTTCAAAAGGTGACAGAAGGTATTTAAAAATGTATATTTTTATCGTAATTTTGATTCGTAGTGAGATAGAGAGGTGACACGGTTGATTTAGAATGGCTTATTAAATCCCTATGCATGACCAGTCTTACAACTTATATATCTGAGCGAAAAAAAATCGTGCAGCGGTAATCGAAAGTGGATTCGAAAGATGAAAGTGAGCACTATACGATACCATTGACAGAAATATTTAAAAAAATTTGATTTACTCACAATAAATTCATGAAATTGGCCAAAATAGCGATTTTTGGGCTATTCAACTACAAATAACTCAAAAATCTGACGTGCTACGCAAATTCGGCGACCAGATTCGGATTCAGCGCACAAAATTACTATTGCATCTTTAAAAAAATCACTATTGCATCTTTAAAAAAAATGTTGACCTCCTTTTTTGCAGGCCTGTATTATAGAAGAAGCTAGAAAATACTGCAAAAGCTTCAAAGAAAAAGAGTAAGATACTGCGATGCGACTTTAAATTTTTCAAATATAAAAAAACTCCTTTGATGATGCGTAATATAATTCTTTATGTAAACATGTTTTTATTTATGCCACTAGTTTATATATATATTTCATTTGTTTTTACATCTATTGAAATCAAATGCGTAACGAGTATTACACTCGTACCTTATTTCTATCTTTTATCCCCTGTAGCATAGCAGATGATATAAAAAGTCGGACGCAGCTAATGGAATACGTTTTTTTTATATAGCTAATGTAATATATACTCTTTGGCAGTGTGTGTAGATTTCAATTCGTTTCTAATAAATTGCCACAGTAATCACATCTGTGCTCTATTTTGTTTATACAGGTAGATACTCCTGACAGCGTTCTGCAAAGTGGCTTAGGTCTCGGACCCGATATGGGACACACGATTCTTCGTTCGATGGTGGATCCTAGAGATTACGATCGACTGAGATATTTACAGATGAATGGCGGACAACCAAACAGCTTCGAAGAAACCATACACAGAGTAAATTCCATTTTATCTATATTTTCTAAAATAATATTTAGAATCACTTACATGTCCCTAAGAAAATAATTTTAATTTTAATTTCGTATAAATATTGTTTGTACGTTATTTTCTTAAATATTGGATAATTTCGAAAATAATTAAGCAAAGATAGAGATAAAACGAATAACAATAATAATTTGCATTAGTGATAGAAATCTTACGAGCGAAAGGCCGGCTTGCTCTTATATACTATGCATCATGATCCTTGAACTCAATCGGAATGTTCGAAGTCACTCGCGAGAAAGTCCCGCATAAAACCTTTTTAAACGAAACTTAAGAACGCTTCTATTCCCTTGCATTTTTCAGCTGAAAGTTCAAGAGGCGCTACGTAAGAAAGAGCGATTCCACAAAGAGCACGAGGAGGTGAGTGCATCTTAAATCCACATCTATCTCTCGATTCTATAAAGAGATTTTTCGACGAAATTCAGAGTTTTTGCTAACGAACTTGTAAAGGATCTTGCGAGAATAGGTTAATGCCGAGAACCGTCTATGACTTGCCGCCATCTTATGCGTCCGCGATTAAATTTCGCTCGATATATATATATATATATATATATATATATATATATATATTCTCATGGAAGATGAGAAACTATTAGACACTTTGGAGGAAACACGCTAGGGAGAAAAGAAGGATAAATCTACTTGCATTAAATATATATATATATATATATATATATATATATATATATACAGGGTCTACCAAAAGTGTGGAAACCCCTAAATATCTCGGAAAATATACGTTTTACAGAAAAGTGTTTCCAACAAAAGTTGTAGGGTTTAAGAAGATCTATATACTGATTCTATCAGTTTGACCTTGGATGGCGTCGTCAAGGTCAGGTCAAGGTCACATTGACTTTTTTAAATGACACCCCCTACATTTGATTGCATATTCTTATAGCTTAATTCAAGAGCTTTCCAAAACACTATAATAATGTTCATTTTTATTAAGTACTTTGCGAGTTATGAGGGTTGAAATAATTTCTTAATTTTACATAAACCATAAAATATCTAGTAAACCATTCATTTTTCGATTATCTTACCTTCATACTTTTATGTACAAAATAATGAAAGGAATCAATTGGTGTAAAGAAAACATACAGTTGTTTTTAAGAAAAAATATGGAATTGTTAATTGCAAATTACATATTTTTTCTTAGAAACAACTATGTGTTTTCTTTACACCAATTGATTCCTCTCATTAATTTGTACATAAAAGTATGAAGGTAAGATAATCGAAAAATGAATGGTTTACTAGATATTTTATGGTTTATGTAAAATTAAGAAATTATTTCAACCCTCATAACTCGCAAAGTACTTAATAAAAATGAACATTATTATAGTGTTTTGGAAAGCTCTTGAATTAAGCTATAAGAATATGCAATCAAATGTAGGGGGTGTCATTTAAAAAAGTCAATGTGACCTTGACCTGACCTTGACGACGCCATCCAAGGTCAAACTGATAGAATCAGTATATAGATCTTCTTAAACCCTACAACTTTTGTTGGAAACACTTTTCTGTAAAACGTATATTTTCCGAGATATTTAGGGGTTTCCACACTTTTGGTAGACCCTGTATATATATATCCGCGTTCTCCTCATGCAAGAATCTACGTCCCGCACTGAGAAACAAATCTGGTTGCATTAATTAGAAATCTGATAAATTCAACCAGTATGTCTGTTGGAAAATGGACGAACCAGAATTCTTGTAGGAATTACCAGATGAATCCGATTAATTTCTTCCTGTTAAATTTACCAAATTTTCTGATTAATAATACTAAACTCGCCAGCACCAAGTCGTCTAAATTTTTCCCATCTAATCTCAAAAGTCTGTTTAATATTCTGAATTTTAACAAGATTATTGGATAAATTCAATCCAGATTATTGAGTAAATTATTTTAAATTCAGTTTGTTAGAAATTAAACTGATAAACAGTGATGCAAGAAGAAGATGCAGCTCAAACACACATAATCAGAGAGCTTGCGTCCTCTTTCTGGCACTACTGCTCGTAAGAGAAAAAAAATATACTTTGGATTTAATGTTAGTACTAGTTCTTTATATACATTTCATATACTGAGAAAAAAATCTGGTTGCATTAATTAGAAATCTGGTAGATTCAACCAGTATGTCCGTTGGAAAATGGACGAACCAGAATTCTTGTAGGAATTACCAGATGAATCCGATTAATTTCTTCCTGTTAAATTTACCAAATTTTCTGATTAATAATACTAAACTCGCCAGCACCAAGTCGTCTGAAATTTTTTCCATCTAATCTCAAAAGTCTGTTTAATATTCTGAATTCCAACACGATTATTGCATAAAATTCAATCCAGATTATTGAATAAATTATTTTAAATTCAGTTTGTTAGAAATTAAACAGTGATGCAAGAAGAGGATGCAGCTCAAACACACACAATCAGAGAGATAGCGTCCTCTTTTTGGCACTACTGCTCGTAAGAGAAAAAAAATATACTTTGGATTTAATGTTAATATTAATTCTTTATATACATTTCATGGCAAATATTGAATACGAGTTAAGTTAAGAGAGTAAGCAAAGAAATCAATATAACAAGAAATTTTATAGATTTAATCAGAATATACTAACCACATCCTTATAGTAAAATCTATTAAACGTTCTAGTTATAAAAAATCGAGTCTTATCACGATAACTAGAAAAAATCTTGTTTGATTTAATCCAAATGCCTTCAATCATATACGTCTTGTTGGTACAATCAAACGATTTTTCTCAGTGCGCGTTTCTCGCCCGCGCAAACATCATGCACGACTATCAGTGAGCGACAATTTTCGTTATCGTGCGTGCCGATCGTGATAAGGGTGGCGCGCGCCATATCGCGATTAAACCACCCCGCTCGGCTCGTTTATTTTCTTCCTGCGATTCCCCCGTGCATTGCCCGGATCATCGGCAACCCTCTTCTCGTCGTTCGACTGATATTGGCCCTGGGAGCCGGTGGTCTTATCCGATACAATCCTGCCTCCCGCATCAGAATTCTCGCAGAAATTTGCATATATGCGCTATCACCAAGGCCACCTCTCCTCCTCCGCCGATTTCTCTTTACATATATGCATGTGCGCGTATCGCTGTCCCCCTTCGTTTTACGTACGCGTGAGAACTCGTTCTCCGCGAGTCTTTTGCCGCCTCCCTCTCCTTCCACCTTCCTCGTCGGACTGTCTTTCGCCAACTCGATACCTCTTATTATGCAAAACAGCCAGATCAGCGTGATATCATCATAATCGTCAATGCATACCGCGACGTTGCACCGTGAATTTCTTATGCGCGATCTCGCGATACACGCATTAGTTTTTCGCGTTTTTCTTATTTTCCGCCGTGGTTTCGCATCGTATGTGAGATCCGGCTTTCGTTTCTTCTTGTCTCATGTTCATGACCGCGAATTGTAACGTAAAGACATCAAGTAAATATATTTTGTTGCTTATCGTTGGTAAAATTCAATTATTATTTTTTAAAATGAAAATGATGAGATCGTATTATCAAGATACTTAATTAAAACATTGCACACTAAGTGATAAAGTTCTACGAATGCTCGACTTGAGAGTTTTAGTAAGAAAAGTTATATGAATTATCAGGACAGAATAATTTCATGATAAAATCAGTTAATTTATTGCCGGGAGTTCTATAGAAATATTAATAACTCTTTTAATTATATTTTATCGGTTTGATCTGATATTCTTCTATAATTTACTTTGCTAAACAATACTAACTCGTTTTTGTCGATTTTTTATAGTCATTCACAATAAAGAAGTTTATCGTCGTTAATTTATCTGTGGTATAAAGTAAGGAATATATACATGAAAAAGATCAAGGATGATACTAAAATCAACTACTTGAAAAGAGTATTCGGGATAATGTCGCGCGCGCGACTTTATTAAAAAATTAATTCCGTTAAAAAGTTAGCCGAACGTGTCGTATAAAAGTTGTCTTCCCTTCTCGATTGCTTTCATCTACTATATAGATGCTATTATTTGTTGACAAAGTTCCATCGTCGCAATTTCGCAATTTTCTAATAAAAAGATTCATAAACTTTTCGAAGATTATGCAACCATAAACAATTTTTTTATTGTGATTATTATATATTATTAAATATTTAAGATTTCTTTTTGGTAAAATTAAATTTTACGAATTGCAAATAAATATTGAATGTATATATATATATATATATATATACATATTTTTTTCTTTTTTTTTTTACTTTAACAACATTTCTAATTTTGTATTAAGGATGTTTTGTATGAACAATCCCAGCAAAAAGTAAAGTTGAAAATCAATATTGATGAATATATCCACTTTTGGTATATTTTGAATATGAGAAATTATATGGAACATTACAATTTGATCTTAGCTACAGTGCAGAGATGTATTTTTTAATATTTATTGTGTTTTTACTGAAATATTCTGAATTCGAAATGATTAACTTTTGGTAGAGAATTGCGCCTTGTGACAGATACATGGCTAACTTCACTGAATTATATTTAATATCTTTTTAACCAGTTAGTACTTGTATAATATTATTTGACCAAATATTTCCTCTGTATCTAAACTATTGCAGATTTTAAACAAATTCTGAATATTATTTCCATGTGTTTTTGTCATTTGAATCGATGGTTATACGTTTCCCATAAGAACACATGTTAATTCGGTGCAAATTAAAATTCTTATAACTTGTGAATGCTTTAGTGAATCGTAAAATTGTACCGAAGATTCTAAGAATATGTAAGAACATTCTGTACAATTTTCATTAAATTCTCAATATTTCGAAAATAGGTACGAAACATCCTTAATTGAAATGATTAACTTTTGGCAGAGAATTTTGCCTTGTGACAGATACATGGCTAACTTCATTGAATTTAATATCTTTTTAATGTCTTTTTAATCAGTTAGTACTTGTATAATATTATTTGACCAAATATTTCTTCTGTATCTAAACTTTTGCAGATTTTAAACAAATTCTGAATATTATTTCCATGTGTTTTTGTCATTTGAATCGACGTGGTTATAAGAACATTTCCCATAAGAACACATGTAAATTCGATGCAAATTAAAATCTTTATAACTTGTGAACGCTTTAGTGAATCGATTTAAAAATTGTACCGAAGATTCTAAACATATGTAAGGACATTCTGTACAATTTTCATTAAATTCTCAATATTTTGAAAATAGATACAAAACATCCTTAATATCGTAAATCAACAGAGATTATCGTTTAACTGAATTTGCTTTACTATTGCTAAAATTAACCCAAAAATTGCTGGAAATTTTTAGAATTCGTAGAAAATGGTACACACAATTTCCGGTACCGAAAATTACACAGATAATGAGGTAAAAATAGCCGTTTCGATGTAAGACAGAACCGTTTCGATGCAATCAAGTATACCGTGCCGTTCATGCATAAGCGAGCAACTATATAACGCGGTGCTCCACGCGAGAGAACACGTACGCCATATTACACACGCTTTGCACGTAACAACATTGAGATTTAAGCCACGGTTGCAGCGCGGCAGCTTAGCTCGTTACATATGTCGCGTATCCCCGAGCATTTCTCTCTCCTTCTCTCCCATTCCCTCTCCTCCCTCTTTTCTCTCTCATCCGAGTTCGTTCGCCGTTTGCCAAAAACTGCCCATTACGGAAGAATCGCACGCATAAAAGCGAAGTAGCGGGCGTCGGGACGAACTCCAGTTAGGTAGAGAGTAACCGAGCACGAGCCGAGAGTTTTAATTACGCGGACGTAAGCTCCGAAATTTCGCGGAGTTTTAAAGGGGCTGAGAATGGGCCGTTGAAATATTCGAAAACTGTCGACATTACGGGCCGCGAATTTCCACGTAGCGATGGCACGTGGGGAGGATGGGTCTGGGACGAGAATGAGAAAAGGGCGGCGGAGGCTCCGAAGAGAGAGAGACATAGGAAGAAATAAAGCGGCCATGTTCCTTTGAGGCTACGAGGCAATATGGAAATAAAGGTCGGTATCTGTGTAAAAGTTTTAGTGTCACCTTCACCTACGCGAGTTTATTGCTCCCCAGAGAGAAGCTTCTCTTTCTTTTTCTTCCCGATTCTCTCCTGCCTCTTCTTTCTATTCTCCTCTCCCTTTTCTTCTCTCTCTCTCTCTCTCTCTCTCTTCTCTCGCTTTAGCCTTTATTTCGATTCGGTAGGGATCTTCACAGCCGCAGGCGAGCTCGACAAACTCCTTTTCCTCTTCCTCTTCTTCTTCTTCCGTCCCAACTGTTGTTCCGATCTTTTTTCTCGCTCAGGAAACAACCTTTGACCGGGCTATCCCTCATCAGGACGTTATTTTTGCAACGTTCTGACCGATAATGGTTTTTCGTTTTGTTTCCACCGATTATCTTGGGACTTGCGGTCTTCCGCCGCAGAAAAAGCGCGTATATATATGTACACGATTTTTCTTTTTCTTTCATCATCCTTCCTTTCATCTCTTTCTTTACTTTATCGTACGGTTACTACGAGATCTCAAAAACATCGATGGTGGTCCGGTAGCCGGATAACGGCGATTATCCGCCAGTAAAAGAACCCGTGCATGTAAGTTCCCGGTAATACCATTTAAATTACACGCGATTACGCTACCGGTTGCGAGGCATCTCTTCTCGGCATGAAATTTAGTCCTTAGGCGCGCCATTACTTCAATTAACTATTTATGTAGAAAACGCAATTTGCGTAGAAATGATATGCTAACGTAATTAGTTTGTAATGAGACTCTGACACATTTAAATAAAATATTTGAATTAAATTGCAGAAATTTTTAAATAGTAAAAAGTTTAATATTATATATAAATTTAATGGCTATATATATGTAGAGTATATGCGATGTGAAGCTTTAAACGAAGGGAGGAAAATTTCAAAAGCTTAATTGTTGCACTTAAAATTCATAAGACTTAATTTCACAAGAAGATACATAAAAGTTAGTCCATAAGTATGTGCATGAGAATAATGCTCAGAGAATAATTTTTTTTTATACGTAACGATTATATATTAAATATCATCTCTGTATATTCTTTTATTAATACAATGTTTCAGAATAATCTAAAAAATTATTTGAATCATCTTTTTTAACTTAAGAAGTACGAAATATCTTTTTTTTATTTTTTATTAGATAAAGAATTAAGGATTTGTATCTATTTTTAAAACATTGAGAATTTAATGAAAATTTTTATTAGATAAAGAATTAAGGATTTGTACCTATTTTTAAAATATTAAGAATTTAATGAAAATTATACAGAATGGAAATAATATTCAGAACTTGTTTAAAATCTGCAAAAGTTTAGATACAGAGAAAATATTTGGTCAAATAATATTATACAAGTACTAACTAGTTAAAAAGATATTAAATATAATTTAATAAAGTTAGCCATGTATCTGTCACAAGGCGAAATTCTCTGCCAAATGTCATTTCGATTAAGGATGTCTTGTACTTATTTTCAAAATATTGAGAATTTAATGAAAATTGTACAGAATGTCCTTACATATGTTTAGAATCTTCGGTACAGTTTTTAAATAGATTCACTAAAGCGATTCACAAGTTATAAGGATTTTAATTTGCACTAAATTAACATGTGTTCTTATGAGAAACGTATAATCATCGATTCAAATGACAAAAACACATAGAAATAATATTCAGAATTTGTTTAAAATCTGCAAAAGTTTAGATACAGAGGAGATATTTGGTCAAATAATATTATACAAGTACTAACTGGTTAAAAAGATATTAAATATAATTCAATAAAGTTAGCCATGTATCTGTCACAAGGCGAAATTCTCTGCCAAAAGTTAATCATTTCGATTAACAAAATTCGGAATATTTTAGTAAAAACGCAATAAATATTAAAAAATACATCTCTGCACTGTAGCTAAGATCAAGTTATAATATTCCACACAATTTCTTACTCAAAATACACCAAAAATGGATATATTCGTCAATATTGATTTTCAGCTACTTTTTGCTGGGATTGTACAAAACATCCTTAAATGAACAAAAAACTTACGTAATACCATATTAGTTTGCATCATTCTTGAATCGTATAGCAGATGAAATAATATAACAAATAAAATATGATAAAATCTTGCGATATTCAAAGTTTTTAAACGTTTGATCTTTGATCACATTAGAATAGAATTGCATCGAAATCAATGAAAGCAATTCCGCGGCATGCAAACATCGAAGCGAATGCGGCTAATAGCAGGTTTTAATCACAATGCCGGATAAACATTTACCCACAACGTCATTATTGTTGCTGTTTCAGATACTGAGGGATATCCGGCAAGGTTTAATGCAGCTAGGACGAGATGGACGGGGTCAGCTCCCTGGGGGTAAGTACATCAAGGACTAACCTCCAGCTAGTTGTCGCCTCGTCTCTCCACGACCTATAACCCGCCCTCTCGCAACCCATCTACGTACGTAGGTGTGGGTGCAAATACGTGTTCGGTGTAGAAGGGAGACGCGCCGGTATGCGTGTACGTTGAACAAAACGCGCACGTGCCAACCGGTATGAGAATCGACTCCAAATGCCTGACACCTCGTACGTAGTCGCTCACTCTCGCGAGACTCATTTTGAGCATTCGTTTCCTGATGGCTCCCCTTCTAGTCTTTTTCAGGAAATCTCGCTCCCCGTAGCCTCAGCAGCTTTTCACGATAAAGTGGAAGCGCACCGGAATGACACCTATGCCTCACAAAAAGGCAACAGAAAAGGAAAAAATGCTTTCGCTACAAAGCTTATCCAATTAATGTCGAAGATGTAAAAAACTGAAACAGAATATAAAAATTAATATAAAAATAGAATATAATATAAAATGGAATATATAAATTATATTAAAACTAAAATAGAATATAAAAATTAATATAAATTAATGAAAAAAGAATCTGAAAAGATCTTGAAATAAAAAGATTAGATTCTATGAGATAAAGATAGAGCTAATTAATATTTTGGAAAACAAAAGTATGTCGTTTTATAATTTATATATATATATTTTTTATTTATATTTTTAATGAAAAATATAAATATTAAATTATAATAAATTTTATTTCTTATATACTTTTAAAATTAAGAATATATTTTAAAATTAATAGGTCAAAAAAATACTTAGAAAATTATAGAAAAATTATATAAATTACGTTTAATAACGTGATAATAATTAAAATTCAAGATTAAAGTGTAGTAATAATCACAGTGCGTGATTAATACTATTTCACACATTCCAGCATGAGTGGAACATGCTCTATGGTTTATTGTCAATTTATCATCACTACGCTGGTTTTATTTCCTATTCACAAAGGCTGCTGCGGCACGGCTGCGTCGTGAAGCCCCTCGTATACGTGAACTAATCTTGTTATTGTTAGCGCCCGCCATCTTCAATTCCCAAACCCTCCCTTTGCTACCTCTCTCTTTCTTTGCGCAATTATACGCACGCTTGTAATTCGTAGATCCGTACCAAAAGAGAAACCAAATTCTTAAGTTCGTTAATTATATTATGAAATAATAATTTAATGCATTTCATGATATTTGATATTCAATATAATAATATATTTTGGTAAATTTCAATACATGTCATATGTAAAATATCATTTTATTTATGAAAAAAATTTTCTTAATTCTTAATTGAGAGAGAAACAATAATTTTCTGTTTGAAATTATTAATTTCCAATTTATATTTGCAAATGTAAAAAGACAAAACGCGCGTTGATTCGCAGATGATACGTACATGTACGATGAAGACGCGCGATGCGGAGGTGCGGGCGGTTTAGGACCAGGTGGTCAACACTGGTACGACGAACCGCCTTATGAATCGGATCCCGAAGACTTTCTTATGGGAGCTAGCGGTGGTCCGGTACCTACCGCGACTATTCAAAATGGAAGGTAACGTTTCCACCTAAATTAAAGCACTTGAAATAAACGTAAATAAAAATTGTCGATTATTAAATCCGAAATTCGATTCTAATACATGCATTAAATAATTTGTAGCATTAAATAATAAAAATAATAAAATAATTAAATGGTACAATCGAACGTCAGGGTGTGCTTTACACTGAACTTGAGGCCGGAGAATCGAGGGGAGGGCGTGATCTCTCTTCGAACAGCTGGTGATATCAGCCTGCCGCGCGATCGCTCGAGAAAAGGTGCGACGTCGACGATGCGAGGTCTCATCGTTCCTCAGGGTCACAATAATCCGCCGACGATTATACCCTTAACACATTCAAGAGCTTCGCGTGAGAGCGGAGATTACGCGAGTAGCGATGTGCAGGTAAGTCCAGCATCGTTGTACGATGATCCGGGTAACCACCACGTGTGCCACAGTCTGTAAACTTTGTCCTACAAACATTATATTATCGTCTCTTTGTTGCTATAGTCAAATTACATCGTCTCTTGTGTGTGCCTCGATATTATAAACGGCGAAACATACCTGGCGAATAATCAGCTTGCTGTAAATACATATACAGGGTGTCAAAAAAAGCTCTTGTAGCTTACCTTTTCGAAACACTAGTAAAATATTTTTTCATCGAGTACTTTTCGAGTTAAATAATTTCTTAATTTTTATATAAATCATAAAATATCTAGTAAAATATTCATTTTTCGATTATCTTATTTTAATATTTTTATGTACAAAAATTGGTGTAAAGAAAACATAATTGTTTCGAAAAAAAACTGTAATTGTTAATTGCAAATTACATATTTTTTCTTCGAAACAATTATGTGTTTTCTTTACACCAATTGATTCCGCTCATTATTTTGTACATAAGGTATTAAGATAAGATAATCGAAAAAGGAATATTTTATGATTTATGTAAAAATGATTTCAAGTCTTGAAAAATTCTAACTCGAAAAATCTAACTCGAAAAATACTCTGAAAAAATACTTTATTATAGTATTTTGAAAAGTTCTCGAGGCAAGCTACAAGAGCCTTTTTTGGCAACTGATAGCCCTGATAAATCCTGTATAAAAGAAACAATAATCTATTGTAATCTACTTACAATCTTTCTGATGTGAATTTTTATAATCTTTCGTATTTAGAGAGTAGCGTGGCTAATGAACTTGAACAAACTGAAAAAAGTAGCGCACGCTATCTCGCTCCATATATTCCGCCGAGATTACTAAATTATCGTACCCCAAGTCACATGAATCTCGTTAAGTCGCGGATAATATCATTGCGCCTGGGCGTAATATCGAAGGACCGATAGTCCCAGTCTAGATAAATCTCGTTAGATTATAGCCATCACTCCGCATAGTGGAATTAGTCATTGCGTTCCGATAAGTCCCACGTAAAAAGATCGTTACACCCTGGTTCCCTAAGTTTCCGCTCTCCCTCGCGAGAAGCGCGAATTTTCGCGAACCCCGTTCGTGGGTCCCATGGGCGTTTATTTAGGGAAGAGGAGGGAGGGATGGTCGCTTACGTTTCCTCGCGGGCGTCACGGTGTGATTTATTTAATTTTGGGGCTGTAGAGTGTGAGCTCGAGACTGTCGACTGTGTCGGTGGACACGAGTAGGAGCGACCAGCCTCCGGTGGGCGGTTGCCATCCCGATCGGCCGGAGCATCACCACGAGCACCATCACAACCATCGTCATCATCACGAACATCACTCGGTCTCACCCCGATCCAATCAACGTCACCCCGCCGCTACTAGCACGACCATAACCAACACCGTCGACGCAACGTCACCGCAAAGCAACGCGCAACGTCGCCCGATTCCCAGATATGTTCGTATTTGCCGAACTTGTATACTTGGATAACGTATTGATCCCGTCTCCTTCACCCTGCACAAACACACCGCCAGTTTCCACTAACCCAGTTACTACTAACCCGTTCTTGTGCACTTTTCCGCGCACGTGACGTACGTGCTCGATCCATTGCACGATCATCGCGCGACATCGGGTGTCTTTGAACTCGGAAGCGGGAGATGCGGAAGGAAATCGCGAAGTGATCACTGTACGCGAATAATTCGACAACCGCGTCGAGTTACGTTTTAGAGAGAAAAAGAAGTAATCGGTGTCCGATATGTTGGTTCAATCCGAGGCACCGAGAGCCATTCGATTCATTCGTCGAACCGATAATTAGATCCTGTGATTTACGGATTGTTTGCTGGGAATCAATGGCCGTGTAACGACCGGTGCGGTGGTTGCGTTGAAATTAATGTCGAGTTTACGTTAGTCTATCTCTCCCTCGTCTATTGAGCAAACGTTATTCTTTGTAGACTTTGCAAACTTGATAACGATCGAGTACCATTTTTGCGAAATTTTGTAGAACGTCGTTTGCGTATTCTGTTTGAATTATCGAAAAATCGTATGTTCCCCATAATTCTTTTCCATTCTTTTTTCTCCACCGATATTCAAGATATCATAATACGTAAAAATGAAATATTGAATTTCTTTTGTTAAAAAATAAGGAATTTCAAGTAAAAATGTATAGTAAATTTGTAGTATCAATTATCAGGATATTTGATAATTAAAGTAAATGGCTATAACTTTGTCAGCGGATATAATTTCGTCAAGCCTTCTTAAAATTAAATAAATTAAGCAATTTCGCGTACATCGACAATATTTCCCAATTTGAAAATGATTTGAACATCGTTTCAAATCGGGAAATATAGTCGATATACGCGAGATTGCTTAATTTATTTAATTTTAAGAAAGTCTCCATTTACCTTATCGAAAATTTTAAGGATATTTTGTATCTGTTTTCAGAATATCGAGAATTTAATGAAAATTGTACAGAATGTCCTTACATATGTTTAGAATCTTCAGTACAATTTTTAAATCGATTCACTAAAGCGTTCACAAGTTATAAGGATTTTAATTTGCATCGAATTAACATGTGTTCTTATGGGAAACGTATAACCACGTCGATTTAAATGACAAAAACACATGGAAATAATATTCAGAATTTGTTTAAAATTTGCAAAAGTTTAGATACAGAGGATATTTGGCCAAATAATATTATACAAGTACTAACAGGTTAAAAAGATATTAAATATAATTTAATGAAGTTAACCATGTATCTGTCACAAGGTGAAATTCTCTGCCAAAAGTTAATAATTTTGATTAACAAAATTCGGAATATTTCAATAAAAACGCAATAAATATTAAAAAATACATCTCTGCGCTGTAGCTAAGATCAAATTGTAATATTCTACACAATTTCTTACTAAAAATACCTAACCAAAAGTGAATATATTCGTCAATATTATTTTTCAGCTACTTTTTGCTAGGATTGTACATACAAAACATCCTTAAATGAAATTGTTTAATTTTTCTGAATATGTAACTAAAAAGATTACATATGAGATTTCTAGCAAACTATCCGTATTTCTCTAATAATGTTATAAATATTAGAGAATTCAAAGTACATTACATTTTTGAAGTAGAAAAGATTTATATTTGAAACATCGGGCAAGCATCGCGTACGTCTATATATTTGATTTATATCTTTATTATATAAGTTTAATCGCCACTCGCGATAGTCGAACGTGTAATATGATAATCGTGCTTGATATTGAAGCAAAAATTGGAAAACCTAATCTGATCAGAGCACCCTAAAATGAGGTGTCTCATTTCCTGCTCTGACGCCTACACAGCACTGACAGCCTCTATATGTATAAATAATACTCACACACTGACACGCCAATATTAAGTATATCACTAACCCATCTAGACCGGCGTGTAGCCTGCATACGCTATTTACTTCTTATGTATAACACGCAATACCCCTCTATTAATATATCGAATGTAACGTGGTTAACATGGTATGCAACATTTTATATACTTAATCCCCAAGACTCATACATATTTGCTGCTATTATTTAGTTTGCTACGCAACAGCTACCTCGAAAGAAGTATATATATTTAAAAACGGTTTATAGATTATACATGTGCAATTTTCAAGCATTTAAAAAAATAATTTAATATTAATAAATAAGCGAAAGTTTTAATCATAATTTTATCATTATTTTACAATTAAAGTTATGAGGTTGAAAGATACAAATAATAGATTTCTGATATATGAATTATATGATACATATGTGTTGAAATATTTTATATTGTTAAATAACATGTTTGGAATTGAATAAAAAATGTATACTTTAGAGTAATAATATAATATGTTGTCTAATTTTATATTATTTAATATACTGTAAAAATACTTTTGAGATGGCTATCGTGTTTGCACGTACAATATATAATAATTTTTGACATTGGGTTCATATCTCTATGTCTCCCACATTACCTGCTCTACCACGCTGGTGACAGTCTCGTATTCGATGTCACCTAGCGATGCTCGTAATCGTCGCCCCTTATCTAACAGCATCCGTGCGCTATTAGATCCATCATAGTGTCCGCTTCTCCCTTCTCGTGCGTTATTAGAACTGTCTCCCGCGAGTATCAACGTTTTAGAGCCGGAGTAGCGGCGAGGAGGGACTGTCGCCCAGCCAGAGCAGCGACTACGAAGATCAAGAGGAACTCGAGAGTCAACACTCGGCTGCCGTACACACAGTATGTAACATATGAGGATATTCCTTTGAGAAAACCTTTGTAGATTCTATTTCTCCGTCCGCACCATTCCCTTCTTCACTATTTCTGCGCGTATGTTCGAACGCATGACATCGTTAATCATTATTACACGAACAGCCGATGTCCAAACAGTACAATAACTGAGAAAAATACACTTGTGCACGACTATCATTTATATGATTAGTAGAATCATGAAATTACTGCTTATCCTCTGTTTTATGTTCCTATGTCGTTTAAAGGTAAGTATCTCTCCGAATCAAAATATGCACTAAATAATAGTATTATAAAATTTTTTCAACTTTGATGCACGCGCGCATTTCGAAAAAAATAATTAAATTGTAATTAAGGATGTTCTGTGTCTATTTTCAAAATATTGAGAATTTAATGAAAATTGTACAGAATGTCCTTACGTATATCTAGAATCTTCAGTACAATTTTTCGATTCACTAAAGCGTTCACAAGTTATAAGGATTTTAATTTGCACCGAATTAACATGTGTTTTTATGGGAAACGTATAACCGCGTCGATTCAAATGACAAAAACACATGGAAATAATATTCAGAATTTGTTTAAAATTTGCAAAAGTTTAGATACAGAGGAAATATTTGGCCAAATAATATTATACAAGTACTAACTGGTTAAAAAGATATTAAATATAATTCAATAAAGTTAGTTATGTATCTGTTACAAGGCGAAATTCTCTGCCAAAAGTTAATCATTCCGATTCAGACCTGCATTCGTGATATTCAGTGAACGAATCTGTAAATGTGTAGCGATCTGTACGAAAATATCACTGACCCAAGTCAAATTTTAAATTATTCGAATATTAGTCGAATTTTTTTAATATACAATTTTTTTAAGGATGTTTTGTACCTATTTTCAAAATATTGAGAATTTAATGAAAATTGTACAGAATGTCCTTACATATGTTTAGAATCTTCAGTACAATTTTTCGATTCACTAAAGCGTTCACAAGTCATAAGGATTTTAATTTGCACCGAATTAACATGTGTTCTTATGGGAAACGTATTTACCACGTCGATTTAAATGACAAAAATACATGGAAATAATATTCAGAATTTGTTTAAAATTTGCAAAAGTTTAGATACAGAGGAAATATTTGATCAAATAATATTATACAAGTACTAACTGGTTAAAAAGATATTAAATATAATTCAATAAAGTTAGCCATGTATCTGTTACAAGGCGAAATTCTCCAAAAGTTAATCATTTCGGTTAACAAAATTCGGAATATTTTAGTAACAACGCAATAAATATTAAAAAACATCTCTACATTGTAGCTAAGATCAAATTGTAATATTCCACACAATTTCTCATACTCAAAATACACCAAAAGTGCACAGAGAAAAATGTATACTATATTCAAATAAATATTATTTATTTTAAGTATATCATAAGTTTGTATATCCGCAAATATATCATAAGTTTACCACATGCATTAAATTTAATTGAATATATTCTGAATTTTAATAAGTGCAGTATTTCACTCAAGAATATTAAATTAAAATAAAAATTTTGTTTGCTTGTTACAAGAATTGACGTAAAGTAAGTTTGATTTTTCTGTGATACAACTTTATAATATTCTTAAAGAGAAAATAAATTCTTCTTTTGAGTACATGATAATAAGATTTTCTAACATTTGTGATGAATATATTTTAAGATTATCGTCAAGAATATATTCTTTATTGAAGAAAACTATTACTTAAAAAAAGAAAAATAAACTGAGTAATCGCTTTTCTTTGCAGTAGAATGATATTTTTCTCTGTGTGGATATTCGTCAATATTGATTTTCAGCTACTTTCTGCTGGGATTGTACATACAAAACATTCTTAAAAATCATATTGTAAAAATACTTTAATGTTTAGACGAAAAATTTGTATGATTTATAATTCTCCGCCCTATTATTAAATAGAGTGAAATTGTTGCTACGTGAAAGCAGGAGAATTATATGAAAAGTAACATGATAAGTTACGTATGAAAACGTTTGTATTGAATAGATGCTTATTTGAATTTCTGTTCTAAATCGTCCACAATGTTCAGCTGAACTGCGAATAGTGGATAACATGGATAATACATGAATTTACACATACTGATCTCATTCGGAAACTAATCCGCGTTTGCATTAAACCTGCAGTTATGTCGTTAATTGTCTGTCACAAGTACAGGCTTTGGTCATACGCCTTAATGAGTATGCCTATCATGAATAAACACACTATGACATGTAATATGCAATCTCCCATTGAAATGCATAACGTCGATATAACATTGTTTCTCATTGTTTTAACCATTATGTAACCAGGTGAGAAATATGAATATTAGAGGATCAATCTAACAGACTGGATTGCATAGCAATTCACGCCAACAAAGTTACCAAAGTCTGTTCTTATTTCGAATATACACATTAATTTGTTCTAAAAATTTAACGCACGCACTATCTTTTTTCGTTGATGCAACATGCTTTTTTAAGTAATAGCTTAACATTGTAAAATACACTCAAGCACAGCACCTTCATACCTATTCACGAATTATACGATTACCAAATGTTGATCTAAATGTTGATCTATTCCACCGACAAGTCGACGGTAGCGTAAAGATTCGGAGATGAAAATAATTTGCTTCTGTCCTTCACGATCGTTTGCAATCGATGCATGCATTGAATATAAACGGAAAATGAAACCACTCGAGTACAATTCTTATATAATTCCTTGTCACGAGTTTTGATTTTTACTTCTCGAGGAGTTATGTGAGCGAATACGTGTTTTCTTCCTTCGAGAGGAGTGCGAAGAATGCAGCAAATTAACGATCATAATTATATTTTCTAATTTAACATTAATATAATCCAATTCCCCAAGCTATCGATCGGAAGATAGAACTCGCCTTTTTCGACATACAACACTTTTCACATCGGGGACTTGTGCTATTCGCCATCGTGCGACATTCCAGGGCGTCGTAAATGCATTATTGAAAATGGCTCGGTCAATGAAGATCCTTATTTCACATAGCTCCTCGATTTAATTAACGCGCCTTGAGCGCATTCGTCGCTCTTTTCTCATCTGTCGGTGCATTCGATGGAGCACAGTACAGTATTCCGGGCACGGTACAGTATTTCTGGACACCTCGATGTTCTCCAAAACTCAATTAAAATTTCCAGTCGGAGGCCAGCGCTCTGCTGGAGAGCGACGCCAGGGCGGGAATCGCGGGCCGGGCGAGGAATTTGAGGCACGACGTGCAGCGAAAGATCTCGAGGCTGCGCCAGGACCGCGCGTCCTCGGAAGCCTTCCCGTGCAGCGCGAGCAGCGTCGAGAGCCTGCCGAGCGGAAGTGGCTCGAGCACGCAGGCACTGGTCCGTGCGGGAAGCAATCACAGCTCGATATCCTGCGAGGACAGGGACGCCATCAGCCCGACGTCCATCGGGCCTGTTCTCTGCAGAGCGAGAGCGCTCGTAGATTACACCCCCAGTCCGTACGACAAGGACGTTCTCAAGTTCAAGGTTCGTCCCTGATAATTGATTTATTGGCCGAAATTTCACGCGCAGCTTTGCGCCAAAGTGTCAACGGGCAGATTTGTCGCGTGCAAATTATCCAGGCAATTTGTACGACGTGGCGATTTGGCAACGTGAATATCATTGTTCTCGATTTGATTTCTTCGTTTTTAAATATTTTATTGATTTTAAGAAAATCTTTCTTGATATCTATATATATACAGGGTGTCCCAGTTATCTTCCGTCATCTTTCAAAAATAGATTCCTGGGATCATTGGAAGACGATTTTTCCTCAACGAAAATGTCGAGGCACTAATAATTTTTAAATTATAAGTGATTGGAAATAAGAGGTTTTTCATAAACTAAGCTTTGTAGAAATAAAATATTAACAAAACCACATTCTTCGATTAATTTTAAATAGAGTTTACTTTAGTTGAGTTTTAATTTAAGACTTAATTGCAAAGATATATGATGACAAAAATCCTGGGCACCCTGTATATATATGTATATATATATATATATATCTCAAGAAAGATTTTCTTAAAATTTCAAATCTATAAAATATTTAAAAACGAAGAAATCAGATTGAGGACAATGATATTCATATATATATATATACAGGGTAGTTTAAAAGTCTGCAAACGATCAATCTTATCTTTGAAAATAGTGGTCCTGTGGGAAAATATTTCGGACAAAAATTGTAAGATTTTAAGTGACGCATTACACAGTAATATTACTATGACCTTGAAGAGTGTTGTTAAGGTCACGTGAAGATTAAATTTCTTAAATGGAACCCCCTATTTTTAATTACATATTCTTGTAACTTACCTCGAGAGCTTTTCAAAACACTATAATAAAGTATTTTTTCATTGAGTATTTTCCGAGTTATGAGACTTGAAATCATTTCTTAATTTTACATAAAATATCTAGAAAAATATTCATTTTTCGATTATCTTAATACTTTTATGTACAAAATAATGAGAGGAATCAATTGGTGTAAAGAAAACACATAGTTATTTCGAAGAAAAAATATGTAATTTGCAATTAACAATTGCATATTTCTTCTTAAAAATAACTATGTTTTCTTTACACTAATTGATTCCTCTCATTATTTTGTACATAAAAGTATTAAGATAAGTTAATCAAAAATGAATATTTTACGAGATATTTTACGGTTTATGTAAAATTAAGAAATGATTTCAAGCCTCATAACTCGGAAAGTAGTTAATGAAAACTAACTTAATTATAGTGTTTTGGAAAGCTCTCGAGATAAACTACAAGAATATGTAATAAAAAATAGAGGGTTCTGTTTAAGAAATTGAAGATGATCTTGATGTGATCCTAACAACACTCTTCGAGATCATAGTAATATTGTGTAATGCGTCACTTAAAACCCTACAACTTTTGTCTGAAACATTTTCCCACAGGACCACTATTTTCGGAAATAGTTGACCGTTTCCAGACTTTTAAACCACCCTGTATGTATGTATATATATATTTCGCGCGGAGTTTAATTAAATGTATTGTAACGATGAAGGGGCTTCTCTTACGAATGTTCGCGTGGCTACATTGTTTCAGAAGGGGGACATAATCGATGTGGTACAAATGAACAAGAGCGGACTGTGGAAGGGCGTCGTACACAACAGGATAGGCCACTTCAAGTTTATAAACGTCGAGATACTGAACGACAGGGTACCTAGACGAGGGGAGCCGGAGCGGGGCAAGTGGGGTCAGAGATATAGGCAGAAGCCGGGTTCCGTTCAAGAGCTCTTGCAGAGAATGAATCTTCAGGTAGAGAGAGAGAGAGGGGGGGGGAGGGAGGGAGGGAGGGAGAGAGCAATATCTCGCCGCAGCTCGAACAAACTGATTCGCATTTGCATGGCGTCGAATGCAAAGTAGAGAACCTGCTTTTATACGTTTCTTTATTCGGTGTCCCTATCGCGCTCTCTCTCCCGTTTCCCTTCATCCCTTCTCGCACCCTCCCGCAACAGCTTTCTAGCTTATACCTTATACAACTCGCAGGTTCCACGGACCATGACGAGTCCTTTTTGTTCGATTTTCCTTCTTCCTATTCCTCTTTCTCTCCCCATTTCTCGCCGCTTGTCTCCGCCTTGCTCATTTTTATTCTCACCCGATACACGTCCTGTTCTTTCCTTTATCACTTCTCGGTCTTTCAACTTCCTTTTGACTTCCACACTCGATTTATACGAAATATTCTGAAACCTTGTATTTTCAACCGCAGATATTAAAGAAGATATTATTTATGGGATTAATAAATCCCGAGAATATATAAATGTGACAACAAATTTATTTTATCTTAATAGCTTTATTTTTATCTTGATAGAAACTTTATTTAAGGCTCAATTGTATTATATCGACATTCTGTCTGTTACATATTTAAAACGAAAACGTGTTTCTAACGATAGTACATGCAGTTTTCGAAAAGTCAATATAAACTTTATTAAAGAATTTACAGCTAAATTTGGCACATTTGGCAGTTTTCGGATATTACGGTAATCTCGGGATTCGGCAACAAATTAGGTTCGATCCTGAATCACTGTCGAAAGTTCAAGAGGCGCGTCTCGGAGTCTCCCTATCGAAGGGACGGAAGCGGCAGGAAGGGATAGAACGAAATGATAGGGCGACGAGCCGCTGTACCGGAAACGCCGGTTCCGATTCGGGGAGCTGTGCCACTTAATTAAGCCACTATGATCGATCGTTTAATGAGCGCCGTAGATTCATCCGTGTGCACCTTTTCAACGTCTCGGTATACACTTAATTGAAGCTCGAGTAACTCTCTGTGCGAATTATATCAGCGGACAGACTTCTCCAAAGTATCCACTTCCCGGCTGACTGCTCAAGATCGTCGTTAAATTTCACTATACGGCCCCTCTGAAATGTTCAATCACTGAATATCTTAGAAGTCGCGATACTTTAAATTCTTTCAAGCGAACGCTGTCATAATTATAATATCCTTCCGTGCTAAATCGAGCTTACGGAGATTTTTCTCGATTCGGAATTCTCCAATATTTCAACATGTCGATTTTATTGCATCGCGACATTATTTGACATATTTTGAAAAAATTTTTTCACGTGCATAAATTTCGCAAAATCTAGTATCAAGCGAATCGAAAATATAGAAAGTACACTGAGGGAAAAATTTTTTTGAATCAAATAAATTTGTTTTCTTGAAACTTTTGCTCTAAATGAAAGGAATTGTTTATTTCATTTAAGCAAAAGCATTTAATTTTAATTAAATATGCATGTTATATTAAGTACATCATTTATACGGGGTGTCCCAAAACACATAATCGATCTTTTGAAGACAGATTCTTGGGATCATTTGGAGATTTCATTTGGAGACGATTTTTCCTCAACGAAAATGTCGATGAAGGCCATTATTTCTTGCATGTTCCCGATTTTTGTCATCATATATCTTTACAATTAAGCCTTAAATTAAAACTCAACTAAAGTAAACTCTATTTAAAATTAATCGAAGAATATGGTTTTGTTAATATTTTATTTCTGCAAAGCTTAGTTTACGAAAAATCCCTTATTTTCAATCACTTATAATTCGAAAATTATTAATGCCTCGACATTTTCGTTGAGGAAAAATCGTCTTCAGATGATCCCAGGAATCCGTCTTTGAAAGATTGATTATGAGTTTTGGGACACCCTGTATATTTTTTATATTTCAATACTATTTTCATAAAATATATACTATAATTTATTAAATTAAATATATTATTTTTTAAAATTAAAAAATTTAAAATTTTTGGGAATAAAAAATGCATTTTAATAAATATTTTGTAAAATTAAAATAAAAATATTTAATTAAAAATTATATTTTTTTATATATTCTTTCAAACATATGTAAATAAATAACTTAACTTAAGCAAACAGACGTTTTGAATATAAGTGATTAGTACCCACCGAATAAATAGCTTTCTTGAGTTAACTAAAATTTTTTTATTTCAAGATAATTTTTCCCTCAGTGTATATTTATATAATATGAAAAAAAATATCTTTAGTTGTTCTTTAAAATGTATTCTTTATCGCGCTTGAGATTATACAAAATATAACTCAATTTTTGATATCTTTTAATCAAAGTATGAGAAAAATTGCCTTAAATAAAGATTCGATAAGAATTCCGATGAGCTTTTTTTCAAATATGTATAAACTACGAGCTGCACATATATTCTATTGCGCAAGTGAACTCTTCAAAGCTCTGTTACGGTGAAACTAGTATCTCAAAGATGAATGTTACACTCGTGCAGGAACATATTCCAGTTTTTATATTGAACGGATACGAGGATCTGGAGCTCTTCAGGGAGTTGGAGGCGGCGGATCTGGACTATTTGCGTATACATCAACCCGAGGATCGTGCCAAGATACTCACCGCCGTGCAGCTTCTACACGATCTTCAGTGTGAGTATACCGAACAGACCGGCTACATATGTATTATTCACGGTTCCCTAAAGACCTTTTCATCATCGTTCCTATTCGTCTTGCTACATATATCGTGTTACAATTAATACGAATTGTGTATCTTAAAACTTTGTTATAAAAAATTGGTTATTTGTTAATTTTTGAAAGACAAGAATATTTTTTTATATTATTATTTTTTATAATATTAAGCCATATTTCAATTGCTCCAAAAGAGTGCTAAGAGGAATAAGAAAAAAGCTCTGAGAACAAAGAGTTTAAAAATTTTATTTAAACTTTTTATTTTTCTGTTCTATAAAAGAATAAAAAATTGTTTAAAAAAAAAACATATTTTGGACATGTGTTTATTTATATACATATTTTATGAAAATTATTAATGGACTTATAAGCATGAATTAAATTAATTGAGTCGCGAAATCTCACACAGACATGCGTTCCTTTTTTTCATTTCATCCTTAGCGGGTAGCGAAGGTGACCTGGCTTCCAGCTCGGAGGGTGACGAGGTCAGCCGTCTGGTTTTAACCTCCGGCCAGACATCCGGCCACTGTTCTCCCTTCAACCGACGCCAGTTCCCGCGAGACTCCGGCTGTTACGACGCGCACAAGAATACGACCAGTCGACGGACCATCAGCCCGGAATCAACCACGACGTCGGTGAAGCTGTCGAGAGAGAACAATTTGGATAGCGCGTCGACGGCAGCCACGAAGAGCGGCGCGGCCACTGCAGAGGGTGGTTTGGCCGATTCGAAGGACGACTTTCATCCCAATATACCAATCTCCGGGCCGGTGGAAAGAAAAGAGAGCCAGTTCGAGAAGTCGCCGTTGCTGCGGGGCGGCAACGTGCGATATATCGCGAAAAGAGGTACCTTCGGCGAGACGGTGGTCATCGAGGACGCCTGCGAGGCTGGCCCAAAACTAGGCGGTATGGTCAAATACATGGTCGGCGGTACCGGCGATCTCGGTCTGGAGAACACCGGCAACGTCGCCGGGCTCGGCCAGCGCGGTTGTCTCAGCGAAAAATCCAGCGATTCCGGCGTCAGCTCGTCCAGCATCAGCTCGGCGCCTCCTCCCAGGGACAAGGTTCTCGCATCAACCAGCGTCCTCTCGGACTCGCCGACCAAGAGCTTTGGCAGCTTCACCAGGGCATCGCCGACTTCCCAGGCTGGTAGCAAAACTCAGAATAGTGACGGGAGTTATCAATGAGAGGAGCAGCAACGAATCGATAGGTCGGCGAGTCGTAGTGCGATCTTGAGCATGAAGGTAAGAAAAATGAAAATGAAAGAATTACTTAATAATTGGAAACCCATTGAGCAGCCTTAATTCAGATTCAAGGGAAATTTACGTGATTGCGATCGATTCTAGGCTGCGATTCGTCTGCGAAAAAATTGAGCAATGTCGGGATCAACGAATACTTCGGATATGTATTTTGTATTCGATAATAAGAAAGATACAACTTCCGAATCCGATCCTAATGAATGTACGTCGCAACAAGATGTTTCTTCCACTCCGAATAACGTGCAGAGTTAAAGCAATTTTAATGAAATTAACGATAGTAATAATTGACGCAGATATGCTATGTTGTAAAATTGTCAAGTATGCGGTGCATACAAACGTATCCCGATTTGAATACGTAAAGCAATATCTTATTTCCTATTATTAATTCTTTTTATTAAAACAAATGTATAAATAAAAGATCCTACTTTGTTTGTCACGAACACACGTGATCGTAAATTCGAATATCTCTTGACACGCGCCGATATTAACGTCGAGAGAAATATTTTGTTATTCCCTATCTTGGATATTCGAGGATGTCGAGGGAAAGTGATTCGAGGCAAGAATCGCGCAAAATTCTGAAATTCAGAATTTCTTAATTTAACAAGAACTGCCGAAAGGATGCGCGAGCAAGAGTTTCTTCGCGTCACGTTTGATTCGAAAGAAGGTGCGTTTAACGAGAAGAGCGAGGCTGAGCACGATGTCACTGCCAGTCATCATTCTGATCATTCTGATACATTTGTCGATTGCTCTTGGTTTATCGAAATCAAGCCAAGTCACATCGCGCCTAATTATATAATTAATAATAGGAATAATAAGTGAATATTATGTGATATGGTAGCAATATACGATCGATTAATCGAATAGGTAGAGACGAAAGGAACGACGGCCAACGACGACGTGAATCGTCGTCGCGATCCAATGCGTACAATAAATAAATGATGAGAGAAAAAAGAAGGAATAAAGAGATCCGTTGTATATAATAAAGGCGCGCCCCCATTACTTTTGATTTCGCATTCGATGCTATTTATCGATTTCTAACAAGAAAACTTGGCGATTCGTTACTGCAAACACTATATAGTTTATCTGATACGTGCGATATAGTCCGTGAAAAACTGCCAACGTTATTGCTCTTGTTCCTGTCTCTCTCTTCAGAGATAGCGGGGTCTCTTATCTCATATATTTTCAACTCTTTTATACGTTAAATCGATCTCATCGCTATATGAAAGACGTGCGTAAACCGTACGAGAGATAGTTATGAATCATCTCGAGACAATTTTCCGCTTAAATATAGCAAACTCTCGCGAGGATCCATCTTTCTTATCCAGTGATGTAGACGGATTATCGGATCACAGGATGCCTTATGAGCGTTTTTCACTAGCTTATTTTACTTAGCTTATTTACGCGACCTTAATAAAGCCCACTGCACACCCTCGAACAACGTCGGCCCTCGCGAGGGAAATATCTCGTTTGCTTTTTCACCTTTCGCATAATTTTTTACGGAATAACGACGACACGAAGTTTATCCACGGCACCGATTATTATGCCGCGTCGCTTACTATTACGATCGACAATCCCCCATCGTCGATGCGACTCACAAGTTCTTCGACACGATGGTAATCTGTACATGTGTATATTGACCACGTCACGGGAGAAGAAAACGTTGAAAGTTACAGAGATTTTGTATGTACGCATACACATATATATATATATGCGTAGAACTTAACGATGTTTTGTATTGATCTTGCCCGTTTGCCAAAATTTAAGACTAGGCTCTATACGCGATATACTATATATATACATATATATATTATACCGTTGGATTTTATTGTACATCTCTTGTATAGTGTAAAATCATAGATGAATTTACGAGACGCGGGAGCGCAATCAGAAAAAGAGCTGCGGGAACAGATGGGCGGAGCCGAGAAGCCCGATGGATAATAATAGTAATTTGTAAGTAATAATTTTAGTATGTGTGAAGGGGAGGCGATTCGAAGCGCATTATTATTAATTAAAGTAGTAGAAAAAAAAATATGCAGGACACGCACCCATCCCCGAATGAATGAACCATCGAAATAGCACGTTGACAGAGAAGGTGGTGAGAGATATTGGAGAGTTCTTGCAATGCCGTGTTTTTCACACTTACGATAAACACTAAAGTGTTGCATATCCATTTAATTGACAAATAAAAGGATCATTGGAGATAATGTAATCGTACCAAAACTAGCCAGAATTTTTGTTTATTAATTACGACGTTTCGACAATATGCTTGTGGTCCTTTTCAAGTACACGCTGGAATATGAAATGAACAATTAGATTTTCAACGGTTTGAATAAACAATGAAATGTGAACAATTTGAGTACACACGGATCAAATGGTAGATATAAATCATGGTATTGTAAACTGCACAAGTCACAAGTTGATTCAATTATTGAATTATTGAAAATCAAATTGTTCACATTTAATTCGTGTGTGTACTGTTTATTCAAACCGTTGAAAATCCAATTGTTAATTTCATATTCCAGTATATACTTGAAAAGGACCACAAGCATATGATCGAAACGTAATTAATAAACAAAAATTCTGGCTAGTTTTGATCGATTACATTATTTCCAACGATCCTTTGATTAATTGACTAGCGATATTAAGATAATTTATGACAAATAAAACTTGCGCTCGGTGTGTGTGTTCACACACGCGGTTTCCAATAGAATATCTTAATAATCCTCGGATAGGGATAAATTAAACGATGACGATATTCTTACGCGAATGCGGATGATCGGGCAAGTTCGAGATGATAATTGAGAGCTTAGTGTTTATCGTATTCGATGTACGTTATTGCAATAACGTTATAAAAATTTACTGAAAGCTACAAGCGTTTCACAAGCGATACATGTACATTTCCCACATTGTCATCATCTAACGTGTAAGGTAGAGAGCGTGCTTCTTTTTACCACATTGTCGCAACACGGAAAACAAATTAGGAGGAGGTAGAGAAGAGATTCGGTCGATTCAAAAGTCAGCCATGATTAGATCGACCGTGTCGCAAGTTGCTTCCATCGAGATTGATCGACGTATTCGCGAGCATGCATGGAAGGAAATTTTGAGATCAAGTTCCGCTCGCTTTATCCAGTGGACCCCTTCTTTTTAACGAGTTTACGCGACGATTCGACGATTCGAATAGTACCGAGGAGGCTTATTCATTAAACGATATATCGACTTCGATGACGTCTGCTAGTTTATCCGTTCCGTCGAGAATACTGACAAGCGTAGAGAATGAGCGAGGCGATTATTACGAGACAATGGACGAGATTGTGAGGGAGAGAATTGAAAATTGAGCGCGTGTGTGGGAGCGTACGTGTGAGCGAATTGAAAAGGAAGACGACACGCGATGTTAAATTAGTAACGAGTTTATGAGAATACGAATAGACACGATAGTGATTTTATTAGCTCGGGAAAAAAAAAATTATGCAGCGTTTGATGTAAAGTAAACTTATTCTAATCGTAGACCCTGCCCTGCCCTGCCCCTTCCCCCTCCCCCTCCTTCTCCGCCCCCCCCCACGCTCTCCCTTCGAGAAAAAGGCGCAGTAATCGAAAATAGAATAATTTAAGGGAATCTTATGAGGAGGAAGCGATGAATCGTCGATGAAAGAAGGCCTATGATGGCGTCGCCTCGCAAAACGCCCCCTCGAAAAACGGCGTAGCGCGATCGCTAAAGATAAATTTATTCGTCACAATCGAGAAGCGCGACGCTTTCTCGGTGATTTGCTGAAGCGGAAAGAAGTTTAAGCGTTTTAACGTAGCGGTCTAGTCCATTCTTCTCGCGTGGTTAACGAAAATATATAATGTACATAAAATAAATAAAATGAAGAAACACACAAGATTTAGAGAGAGAGAAAGAGAGAATCGGCGATCGCGAGCGCGCGAAAATTAGCGCGCATCGTCGTCGGACCTTTTTATAAGCTGATTTTGTATTTATTCGTTAATTGCGGGATTTGTAGATGGCCACGAAATCACACATAATTCTAATCTCGTCTCTCGGTTCTCGTATGATTTCCAACGATAAGTGTTAATTTATTGACTGTGAATAGAAATAAACGATGGAAGATACAAACGAGGATCGTCTCGTATTTCCGTGTATTTCATTCCTGGCGAGAGTCATGTCGCCCGGCGAACTTCCGTTTCCATAATCCGCCCGATTATTCCTCCAGGAGACAAAGGAGCAGGCGCGCCAGTAAACGGTAAGTGCTTCATTAAGATAATAGCTTATATAGCGTGATCTTAAAATCCTACACTGAGGGAAAAATTTTTTTAAATCAAATAAATTTGTTTTCTTGAAACTTTTGCTCTAAATGGAAGGAATTGTTTATTTCATTTAAACAAAAGCATTTAATTTTAATTAAATATGCATGTTATATTAAGTACATTGTTTTCATTTATATATTTTTTATATTTAAGTACTATTTTTGTAAAATATATACTATAATTTATTAAATTAAATATATTACTTTTTTAAATTAAAAAAATTAAAATTTTTGGGAATAAGAAATGCATTTTAATAAATATTTTTTAAATTAAAATGTAAAAATATTTAATTAAAAATTATATTTTTTTAAACATATGTAAATAAATACTTAACTTGAGCAAACAGACGTTTTGAATACAAGTAAATACGTGATTAGTACCACCGAATAAATAGTTTTCTTGAGTTAAAATTGAACTAAAATTTTTTTATTTCAAGATAATTTTTCCCTCAGTGTAGTGACTTAGAAACGACACGATGATTGCGAGAATTTTCAAAGCATTTAATGCATAATTCGTACAAACAAGATCATTTCATTCTCTCGCAAGACGACTTTCTGAATATATTTGAAATTATCGATTCGTAAACAAGTCATTTTTCATCTTTTTATAATAACCATTTATAATATATTTAATGAGTTTTGCAACTGAACAAAGAACTTTACGGTGCAGCTTCGCGTGCATTGTACACTGGAGAGGCGAATGCACCGATCGATTTTATAAAGAATATATACAGGGTGTATCTGAAATGCACTAAACTTTAGGAGTATATTCTAAAGATCAAAATAAGATTTTTTTTCTATGAATATGAATCCGCAAATTAACCCTCCTCCAAGCTAGAAGCCCCTAAAGTTTGGAAAAAAATTGAAAATTAGCTGTATTATGGATTGCCTTATTATTTGATCTTACCTATCACCCTCTCTTGAGAGATAAATAAATTTGCGTTGCGAGTGTTTGGTCAATTTCACACATTTTCGAATTTTAGCTCCGAGGGTGGGTTCATCTGCGGACTCATGTTCATAAGAAAAAAAGTCTTATTTACCTCTAGAGTACGCTTCTAAAGTTTAGTGCATCGTTTCAGATACACCCTGTATAAAGCGGAATCGCGCGGGTCGACATGTCGACGAAATCCGCGTTCTCACAAAGATTCGCGCAAATAATACGGAGTAATTGAACGGTTTTTTACTCAATTAACGAGCCTCGCTGACATTAAGCGTTGCGATGTCATTTCATAAGTACGCCAAACTTATCTTTAACGCGCTGCCGCGCGGGACCATTAGCGGGAAGAAGTTCCGTGTGACGGACGACTCGGCGTCCGCTGCTGGTAACTCCGGAGCTCGCAAACTTCGCGCTTTGGTTATCTGCCATTACTTGGAGAAAGATCCTCTTATTTAACTATCTTCCTGCTCGCCGTGGCTCGTAATTGCGGAAACTCCGGGAAATGCAGCCATCTCTTGCAGAGCTCGGTTAGTCCAAGTGCAGCGTGACGATCATTATTCCTCTCATCGCTTCTTGCGAAATTAAATTAAATCACAAATGTACATTTTAAATGCGCACTGGCTCGCAAAGAATTCGCTCATTGTCTCTGTGTGCAATTAAATATCGCCGCCGCCTCTAGCTACCTGCTAATTGGACATAATTAATAAGGATTTTACAATTTTATTATCCCGTACATTAATCGACTGCGATATTGTTTCCATTCAATTTCATGGATAGATTCTCTTTGAATATCGTATTCTCGAAACGTATCATCGGTGTTTAAATTCGTTTAGTCGAAAGTGTATGTAGTATAAAGAGCGATCGCACACGAGGATCCAGCGGGCAGATACGATCTTGGAAAGAAAGTACGATAAAGAGCATTTAGTAATGTATGTAAATGCACCCTTCGAGAATCATTCCGTACGTTACGGCATGTACGTGTTCATTCGTAAGCTTTATTTTCGTATCCCAGGGGGCAACAGAAACTTTTTAGTACGCTAGATTATAGCGGTAATAACTCGACGAGCTTCTTTGCGACTCCGTGGTCCACGTGAGCAAATTCTTCATCCCCCTCGAGGGTGAGATCTAATTTAACTTTTAGGGTCGCGCAATCACGACGGTTTCCGGTAATTCAACCTCTGGCGCTGCGTGAGAATTCAGTTATATTATATCTGTATTATTTACTTCGTTACGTCTCGTTTTTTTGTACGAAAGGAACCCCTCGTAATATTTCATAGCACACTGAGAAAAAATCTGGTTGCATTAATTAGAATTCTGGTAGATTCAACCAGTATGTCTGTTGGAAAATGGACGAACCAGAATTTGTAAAAATTACCAGGTGAATCTGATTAATTTCTTCCTGTTAAATTTACCAAATTTTTTGGTTAATAATACTAAACTCGCCAGCAGTAAGTCGTCTAAAATTTTTGCCATCTAAGCTCAAAAGTCTGTTTAATATTCTGAATTCCAACAAGATTATTGGATAAATTCAATCCAGATTATTGAATAAATTATTTTAAATTCGGTTAGAAATTAAACTGCTAAACAGTGATGCAAGAAGAAGATGCAGCTCAAACACACACAATCAGAGAGCTTGCGTCCTCTTTCTGGCACTACTGCTCGTAAGAGAAAAAAAAGTACTTTGGATTTAATGTTAATACTAGTTCTTTATATACATTTCATACACTGAGAAAAAAATCTGGTTGCATTAATTAGAAATCTGGTAGATTCAACCAGTATGTCTGTTGGAAAATGGACGAACCAGAATTCTTGTAAAAATTACCAGGTGAATCTGATTAATTTCTTCCTGTTAAATTTACCAAATTTTTTGGTTAATAATACTAAACTCGCCAGCACCAAATCGTCTAAAATTTTTGCCATCTAATCTCAAAAGTCTGTTTAATATTTTGAATTCCAACAAGATTATTGGATAAATTCAATCCAGATTATTGAATAAATTATTTTAAATTCGGTTTGTTAGAAATTAAACTGATAAACAGTGATGCAAGAAGAAGATGCAGCTCAAACACACAATCAGAGAGCTTGCGTCCTCTTTCTGGCACTACTGCTCGTAAGAGAAAAAAAAGTACTTTGGATTTAACGTTAATACTAGTTCTTTATATACATTTCAGGGAAAATATTGGAGTACGAGTTAAGTTAAGAGAGTAAGCAAAGAAATTAATGTAACAAGAAATTTTATAGATCAACCAGAAAATACTAACTAAATCCTTATAGTAAAATCTATTAAACCTTCTAGTTATAAAAAATCGAATCTTATCACGATAACTAGAAATTCTTGTTTGATTTAATCAAAATGCCTTCAATCGTATACGTCTTGTTGGTACAATCAAACGATTTTTCTCAGTGTAGGATCATAATTTCACGAACTTCTATTTCATCTACTTTCGCGTTAATAAACAAATTTTTTTTAAATAAACACATTACGGAGAATTTTAAATATAAAGATGTAAAAATATTCCCTCAATATTATAAATGATGGAATAAATGCAATATATACTCCTGATATTCTACAAAGATATAAGAAGATGAATAAAGGGGTGAAACAATTTGTAAAGTTTCTCATATTTTTCTACAATCAAACGATTTTTCTCAGTGCACGTCCAAAAAAAATTATGATATTAATATTATATCTATATTATTTATTTTTTTTTACGAAAGGTACCCTTCGTAATATTTTATAGCGTGTCCGAAAAGAATGTATCTACGATATTGTTGTAATGAACGCTCTTGTTGTTGCATAAATTTGCGATATCTCAGTTATTTGCACGAATAATCGCGATATAAATATGTCAAAGCAGTGCTATAAATTCGTTAAGCAATAAAGTCGTTAAGAAGAGATGTTTATCTCGTTACTTTTTATCTCAATTGTATGGAATCGGCCGCGAGATTCATTGCTGCAATTTTAATAACAATTTAAAGCCTCGCATACCGTTCGCTATATTTCTTCACGGCGCGAGATTTATCACACGTAAAGGATACGCCAGTCCGTTACGTTCATTGTGGCGCATTATAAATCGTAATCGACATCTACTTTAACCAGTCCCAGTGTTATCGGACGCGATCGGGCAAAACGATCGGTTATACCTGGCGCGGAGACTTTTGCGCTTCTCGCCCATAACAACCTTAATTACTGTCCACACTAATGAATCAACGAAGATATCGCTATTGGCATAGCCGTGCCGGATGAAGCTCCATGAGATTGCTTCACACTCGAGGCGAGATAAAACCGGAGCGCATTTTTTTTCTCCGCTCTTCTCTTTCCGCGGGGCGTTACGTCGAAGAAGCCGATCGGTTCATCTATTTCTATATTAGAGCCGGTGAGATAGCTCGTAAATCAAATCTGCGTAAGCCCGCCATATATATATATATGCCATCCTAAATAACTACATCCTCCATGGTATAATAAAAGCATTTCGATCGTTACGGATGACCGATGAAGGTCAATCTAGAAAGCTAATATCTAGTAATTGCAGATCACCTTTTGAGGAGAAGATAACATTCAAGCATGCAACACGACTTCGATAACGCGATAATCAAAGATCATAGTCGTAAGTTATGAACAATGCAATTAAATGACAGGAGAATATTGTTAAGAATGTAATTCACGGTATAATAGTTCCTTTCTCTCTACGAATGTATTTTATTTTTATGCATATGCACTGTTCCTGTATGCAAATGATATGTATATTATTCACAAGTATTTTTAGAGTTGAAGAAACTCTAATTATAAAAAATTTTATAGATATGTAGATAGGGATAGAGAGAGAGAATCTGAAACCGCTTGTGATTAAAATATTAATATATTTATGTAAAAAAT